GTTTATTTTTGGTATTTACCCGTAACTATTTAAATTTATGGTGTAAATATTTTGGTCTTCAAATGCAACTTTGTGAAACATTCAGTGTGTCTAATGCTACATTAAAAAAAGAGGTTATGTTCCAAAACAACATTTTATCCCCTTTATAAAATATATATCATGTTCGCTTTGTATTTGTTACTGGTGTAAATATCAGTCTTAATTTTGATGTGAAAACAAATTGTACACTGCTTGATTTAAAGAACTTGGGAAACAGGTCATCTTGTATTCTGATCATTTATATACACAGATTAGACACATACTAGAACCAGTGTTTTAAAATTTCTAGTCAGTTTTATGCCTTTCGTAAAGCATGATAGAAATGAGTTGGGAGACTAGGTAGGACACTATTATTCAGGAAAAAAAGATGAGCAAGATCCATGGGATAAATGGGTTCTCAGTGGATGGATGGATGAATGAGAGGTAATACATTCTATAGATCATAAGGGTTAATTTATTAACTTATTCAGTGTGGAAACAGATTCCTCATTTATTGACTTAATTCATTTTTCAGTTAACTAAAGTAGGTGATAAAGTAGCAGCAAGTTTTGGGATTGGAAGGTGGAAAGACTAAGTGGCAGTAAGTCCTTTGGGAGTAGATTGAGATGGAAGTACCTGAGGCATATCAGATGTTGTTATAGACCGACAGAAGTCTGGAGCCATAAAGAAGGACTGTGAAAAGAAATAAGATTTTGAACATCTTCAGTATACGGTGTCTTTTCTTTTACTTCCTTGTTAAGGATACTTTTAGAGGACTCCAAATTGGAGACTTCTTTTTTGACTGAAGATTGCCAGGATCCATTAGCTATTAGTTACTGGTAGGCAGTAGAGTTTCTCTTCAAAACAGTTGTAATAATCTTGTATTACAGAGAATCAGAAGAACTTGAATTTGAGGGCTTTGAAAGAACCTCAACCAGATCAGCTTACCCAGCAGTGTGACTCATAACACCCTACCAGAACTTTCTCCTTCCAGTTCTGTATCTCATTTTCGGAGACTGAATCCTTGAAGTACTATCACATCCCAGGACCTTTCCCTAGTCTCATCCATTTATCATAGACTATTAGGTTTAGGAATGAAGTTGTTGGTTTTAATTCATTGTGGCAATCTGTAACAATGAAAAAGAAAAAAAATCACTTGACTTGCAAGAGTATACAACCTGTTTTCCCTCTTTCTTAAAATGATCCATAAAACCCTCTTTCATAAGTGTTGTGTAAAAATAACTTGTTTCCTCAGCCTAAAGTACCTCTTTTCTTTTTCCCCTCATTTATACCCTTTGGGTTACATTATGGAATTGTCTTGTAAACTTCTAATAGAACATTCATTTCATTGAGCCGTGCATTCATTTCCATAGATGCATAGCCATAGCAGAGTGCCTGGTGTTGCCATTTTATTCCTAAAAGACTTTGTCTACACTAATTTAATAGAGACAGCAGTATCGACTACACCCACCTTGTCTACATAGTCTGAAGTAAAGTTTTGGGGAGCAAGTACACAATTTAAAAACTAAAATAGTGGCATTTAACCCTGATTGTGCATTGGAGTAACTTGTAGAAGCTTTTTTTTGGTTTACAGGGTGTCATCCCCAGCTGAATCTGTTTGAATCTCGAATCCAAACATTGCTCTAAATTTTAATAACTTATAAATTTTAATAACTTACACACACATAAGTAATTTGTTAATTACCACAAAAAAGTTATATCACTGCTTGTCTTCAGGATTGGAAATATAGTTGAAGGGTTCTACAATTGAAAAGATTTGTGAGATAATCACAGACTATACAGCTAGAACTCTTTTAAACAATTTGAAAAGAAAGTCTTGAAACCTGAGTTTTATGTGTTAATTTCATGAATATAGATTGTCCTCCTCCAGTTAGAAATCAGTTTCCTTAATCTATATAAAGCAAAATGCTATGAAGTTATTTTGAAATATTGAACAAATCAAAAGCTTTTAAAACAAAAGGTGACTTTGGTAATTAAGATGTCAACAGAAATTTTTATGAATAGATCCTTTTTGTTAAATTGGACCAGAAGTGCTCTATAAAAAGAAAATTGCCATAACATTAAAAAAATATGTTAGGTAAATCTTGCTTGGAAATTAATTTTCTGTAGAATGTTTTCTGCCTTGAGGTTTGTATATAGTCTTTGAACTGCAGAAGCCTCTACCGCATGATAACTATTTCACACAGCAATAGTCAGTTTCATTACTGCAGTATTTCCGTGCGAGGTGCAGATGTTTCTTAGCTTCTTCTGTTGGTTTGCAGGGATGGGTGCTGGATATTTTACCATGGTATTTTCAGATCTCAGGGCTGATTATTATAATTGATAGTCATTTCTGCTGGCTTATATGTTAATAGGTACATCTATTTTGCATCTGGTTTAGATATGAAAAATGAAACTCTGAGGTCATGTTGTCCCCACCCCAGTCCTTCATTTCCCTTCAGTTTACTGGAAAGTGTATCATTGTTTTTCTTTTTATGGGGTAGTTTTATGTGGCTTTTCTTAGTTTCTTATACTTAGTAATTACTCTGTAAGTTCCTTCATTTTCACATGTATGTTCTTGAATATATTTCTGTTGCCAAGCGATTTTTCTATATTGTCACTGTTTGGAAATATTTAATATTTCATGATGTTGTGGATTTGAAAAGATATATCAGTGGCTTCATTGGTGTTTTTAAGATTGATTAATACTTACATAAAACATGGTCCAGAATTGCTTCTGCCAGGTTTCATTGCAGGGCCTTGCATATTAATACATGAGGTGTAGTCTGGGCAATTCGAATTATGCATCTCTCTGCTCTTTTTGAGATGTCTTTGTAATGGTAAAACTTAAATACTGCCATCTTGAAGACTTTCTTTGCAGGTCAGTTTGTATCCTCTGATGGCTCATTTAGGAAAAGTCTGTCTTCTCTTCTCTATGTATGCCGACAGGATAAATTAGACTCAGAAATGTAGTACAATCTGAATGTGTGGCTACTGTGCTGCTCTTTTTGTCCAGGGGAAAGCAAGTGGTTATAAAGCAAGCTTTGCTTTCATAGTGCTCACCTTTTATTTTCTTTATTGAGATAGAGTTGACATACAGTGTTATATTTGATTCAGGTATACAAATACTCAGTTAAATAGTCTGGTTTCTGTTGCTGTGATAGCACACTAAAGGGTTGTTAGAACGTATATACAGTCTGCTTAGTAGGCCAAGGCAGAATAAATGCATTTCTTTGTTGTTTTGTTTCTTTTTAATAAAAGCAGTTCTTAAAGTGTTCAGATGTTGGATTTTTTTTTTTTTTTCACTTAGTCAGCCATGACAAATAAGTTTCACTTTTGTTTCGTTGACCATTGTATTCCTAGTGCCTGCATTGTCCTAAGGGCATTATAGATAACTTGACAAACATTTGTTAAATGAATTAAATATTTACTACTTAAGGGTCATAGTCATTTTGTTAGTGGTTTTCCCATTCAGAATATTACAGCCCTTAAATTTTAAAGAGTACTGCAAATGTAGGCCAGCCTCATTATGCTTGCACATAACAGACATTTGTGAGGGAATATGATAGCTACTGTGTTCATACCAAACGATGCCTTCTAACCTTCCTTTCACTTTAACACCGGATAGCTGACATTAGTTTATTTTTGTTAATTGAGGGTTCTCATTGACCAAGTGCAGTTTTGTTCATTCTGTATTGAAATACAGTACTGAAAACTTGCTAATGATTATTTCTCTTGATAAAGTCTTTTTGAGTTTATATCTGGCAGTTGTCATTATGCATGTCAATTTTCAGTTTGTCCAGTAGTTATAAAAAATACAACTATTTAGATATTTGGATTATGGATAGGAGTGAGCTTATTGTGGTCAATTTTTAAAAATGGGTTTACACTTTGGGTGTTTATTACTTTTAATGCTAAAATCTTGTAGGGACTCAGAAAATTTGAATATACATGTATGGAAATAATTTTTAGAAGAGTTCAGAGAGATGTACTTTTTTTTATCCTAAGGATTTTATACCAACTCTAGTACTTGTTTCTTTTTTTTTTCTTAGTTTATATATTAGGTTTAATGTTGATAAAGTAGATGTCAAATGTTACCCCGTGTTCTTGATTGTGATTTGTATTCTTAGAAATTCGTGTTATCCATTGAATTTTAACATGTATTTTTTTGGTGAGGCTGATATGTTATTATACGTGGATATTGTAAAGTTAGTGGTTTAATATTGCCTACACAAAGAATAGTACGTGCATTCTAAAAAGATAATTATATTTCATAGATGAACTTCAAGATAGGCTATTTGATGCATTCCTGGTACTATTTCAAGTAGTTTTAAAAGGCACCAAGTACAGGGGCCCCTAGGTGGCTTAGTGGTTAAGCATCTGCCTTCGACTAGGGTCATGAACTCAGGATTCTGGGATCAAGCCCTGTGGCAGGCTCCCTGCTCAGTGGGGAGTCTGCTTCTCCTTTTTCCTCCCCCTGCTTGTTCTCTCTCCCTCTCTCTCTAATAAATAAAATCTTGAAGCACCAGATAAAATGATTATTGGAGAATCAATAAGGGTAGATAGTTTTAGCCTTCTATTGTCATATATTTCATTTATTTCTGAAGTTCATGTTTCATATTGAGATAAACAGTGGTATTCTGACATTAATACATTAAACTTTTACTTTCAGTTTTAAAGTAATGATTAAACTATTTAAACTGTTCTATAGCTGATAATGTTTACTTGAAGTTTCATAAAAACAATTATACATAGGATAACTTGATATCAAGTTTTTAATTCTCCATTCTCAGCTGTCTCAAGAAAGTAACCCAGCAGCCTGTTATCAGCAATAAATGTACAAAGTGATTCTAGTTGTTTGTCCGGTATGTTCTGTTTGCATAGCGTAGCTTCATGATTGTGTTAAACTTTACATACCTGAAAATTAAGACACATTTATATGACTGAATTTAGTGCACTGATTTTCTCATCTCTTCTTGCAGCATTTTCAGTTAGCTTTGGTTGACTGCAATCCCTGCACTTTGTCCAATGCTGAAAGTAAGTATTTTTAAGTAATAGTTTTCTACATGTATTCAGATCACCTCATGGCAAATAGTAGTAACAATGATGATGTTGATAGTGATGATAGTGACAAGGTCCTGTGTAATTTTTCTTCTAGAATTGTTGGATCTAACTGTATTGGTTGCCATGGCTACTTGTACAAATGGAACATGTGAGACCAATTATTGTGAAAAGCTTGTGTCTAAAATAGATATGCCAGTGAACTGCATTGTTGAATTAAAATTGTCCGTACTAATGAACAAGATTGATTATTTCTGCATTAATTAATATTGTAGATGAATTGGGGGATTAAAAATGGGGTTTACCAGTCTTTTAGGAAAATTTAAGTATGCAAAGATTCTTAAGTGATAGCTCACTGATTCCTGCTGTGTGGTATTAAAAAAATGATTGATAATTATGAATGCATTCTTTGTTTTTTATTGTACTTTTACATATATATAAAGTTTGAAGCAACAGTTTTCAATTAATTAAAAAGGAATGTGTGTGAGAAACATCTTCTGCTACAGTGAGTTTTTTTTTTTTTTTTCCAGGCAGTTATTTTCTGCTTCTGTGTGTTTTTTTTTTTCCAGAAGCAGTTTGGTTTGATTATGATGTGTTTATCAATAAGTATGTGTTGGCATATGTAGTATAAAGCAGCCAATAAAAGTTTTAAGGATATTCATTGAGTTCAAGCTGGATTTCTTTAAAACTTTCTTGAAAAATAGGTATAAAAAGTTGAATCATTCTTAATGAAAATTTCAGGTCAAAGGATTCTAGGTATTTTACTCTGAGTGACTCATGTTCTAACGCTAGAGAATGTCATTAAGTGAAAAGTAGTCAGTGTTAAAAATGCCTAGGAAAATGATGGAGTACATGAAAAAGGCTATAGAAATTAGGATGTAACTTGATATTACATGAATTATGACATGGTTTGAATGAAATCATCATCTAAACCAGACCAATTATCTCATACTTCTACTAGAGGCAGTTTTCTGAGAAAACATAAAAGATTCTGTTTTCTTTAAATGAAACTGATCAGTGTATTGGCAGAACAAATGGTGGGAAGGTAACAAGTGCAGCAATATTTTAGTTTCTAAGATGAGATTAGATTAGAATTTAACTCACTGATAAACTTATTGAAATGTTAATTTATATTTCCTTAATTATATAGGAATGAGAAAATAGCTCCTTTTCATTTGATTGATTATATGTAGTACCTTAAAGCAAACTCTCATAACTGACTAATATGATAGTCAGATAGTTTGAATGATAACTTCTGAGGGATGTTTCATAAATGCCAAACTAAATATTTTGGTAAATCCTCATTTTATTCTGTCCTGTTGAAGTTAAATCTCAGTTGTAAGTCATTGCTCTTGCTTGAGGGGAGAGCACCTACATCTGTAGAATGAGCACCGTTGGACAGAAAACTACCTGTTGAACATGAAGAGGATGATTTGAACCATAATGAATACATCTTTAAGTTTACTCTGTCTCTATCTCTGTTGGTTGTTGAGAAAGGAAATAGGAGGGAGGGTGACCAGCATCCTGTTTTTCCTAGGACTGAGGAGTTTGCCTGGTTTCAGGACTTTCTGTGCTACAAGGCTGGTTACTGTGATGGAAGGGAATGTGCTTTATTTAGAGACATTAGGCCATTATAATTCAGTTGATTTGGGTAGTTTATTTTAGGCTGTCTCTGTGTGATTACATGATAACCACAATAATGGCTGATGTCTTACAGAGCACTAACAAATGTAGACTAAGTACTTTGAGCCAGATATTATTACTATTGAAGTACCAGGCTCTAACTATCTTTGCAAAGCTTATTTCTCTTTGAATTTTTAACATCATCACCTATTTGTGTATGCCAGAGACCATGACTATTCTTTGAAATCTTACATATTACTTGTGATACTGCAAAGATCAGAAGGTATAGAAAGGAAAGTAAGCTTTTAAAAAAAGTCTATATGAGATATTTTTATCTTATGGCACAATTCATTTATGCAATTAAAAAGTAAGTAGATATACTTACTGCTTCTAGAGCTTTTTAAGAGGGGTTAATTACAGTTGGTGTTTTAAAAAGTAGAATCATGGCGTGGTGGGACTTTATTATATGATGGCCCTTTGGGATAAAATTGTTTCCTCTAGATTTAATTAATTCTTTTAATTCTAAAAATAATGTATAATTTCTGAAAAATTCATTTCAGAACCTTTTAAAGCAATATTTGTTAACCATTTCCACTTCTAATTGAGACTTAGCCAAGTGGAGCTTTTTCTTAGTTGTATGGTTATGTTCCACTTGAAGAGGACTTCGAAGAATTTAAATATGTAGTGGTTTTCACATTAGAAAAGATGACATTGGATTTAGTAATTCATTGCATAGGAAAGCCCTAGACAGAGGGTCAAGGGACTGAGCTAGGAGGAAGTTTGGGGTGATGGTAGGATGCTAGCTAGCTAGTTGCTGTTCTTTTCTTCCTTTTCACCTTTATTAGAGAAGTCAGAAGATTGGGGAAGATGAGAATAGATTTTTCCATCTCTTTCTCATTCTCTTAACCTGTAACCCAGTCTCTCTCCATTGATGTAGTGAGGTAAAATTTGGAACTGGAATCTGAAGGGAGAGCTGTGTTGGAAAAGGGGGATGGAAAATAAGAAAAGCCCTCAACAGATGTAGGTAGAGAGTTTATCTATATATGTAGAACTTTTATTATTATTTTTATGCATCGTTCACAAAAAGCTGATTTCATCTTCTAAAGATATTTTTATTTTGCCTCATCTCTGATTAGTTAACATGTGATATTTAACAATTATTTATGGAAAGATGCAGTTTTACTTTTGATCTAAAAATGTTTGATTTTAAAGTTCATCATGTATTTCATTTGTTTTGTTCTTTATGGTTACTTAGTTTAGTTCTTCCCAGATATTAGTCTAGGGAACAGGTATAAGAGTCTGTTGCAGAACTGATTAAAAAGGCGACTTTGTAGGGCATGCTCCAGGCTCACTGAATCATAATCTCAGGAATCTCTATTTTTAACAGGCCTCCCAGGTGCATCTTACAGTTAGAGGAATCAGTGACAGAGTTAGTTCATGGTGCATCCAGCAGTGAATACTTGATGGTAGTCCTGTGGAACTTGTTTTCAAGGATCCACACAAACATTTTTGCATATAAATGTGAAAGGCTCCCAGACTCCTGAAATCCAGCTATGAAATCCAGGTAGATAGAACATTAAAAAAAAGAGTTGTCATTGAAGAATGAAACTTAACAGTATTGAAGTAGCTAGAATCCAGTTTTGATTCCTGGTTTGTTGTTGGCTTTTGTTGAATCATTCATACTTTGGTGATGCAGTATCAAGGAGAGCTGCAAACAAAAGCTCAACTATATTCTTACTTGGTTTTCCAGACATATTTGTTCATCTTGGGACTGTTACTATTCTTGCTTTCTAAGTGGTTTTTGGCTTTTTTTTTTTTTTTAAATAATTCTGAAGAACTGATAGAGAAATGCAACGACTCATTTCCTCTGTGTGTTATTACGAGCATCATCCTGCTTTATGATTTCTTTATAATGTTGTTATGAAATGTGGTATAAGGAATTAGAGGCTTTCTTTGATTTATATGTATATATATTTTTTTAATCAAATATTGACTTTACTATATTAATTGACTTGGAACTCAGTGTTTAAACACCATGTTTTGAAATGCATAGATTATAGGCGTTTTCTCTATTTGCTTCATCTTGCAGTTTTGAACTTTGTAAGGAGTATAGTCACTTGCTATAGATTTTAATGTAAATTTTAATAATTATATTGACAAAATTTGATAGTGACCAACAGTGAATACATGTGGCATATGTGGCGTCTTATGTTCATGTTCTTTAGTGTGTTTGCTTGTATATTGTTTTATTAAAAATAAAAGTTATGTCTCATTATTTAATCTCTATAGTGTAGATTGTGCTTATGTTTGACATTTTATATTATTACTTAATTTACCCCAAACACTATTATATTGGTATTGATTTTTTTTCCATCATCTTTGCAGTTCAGTTTCACATTGCCCACTTATATGAAACCCAGGTAAGTGTTTTAACTTACCTTACTTAAAAGTGATCACCCATATCATTGTAAGTGAAGTCAGACATACATACAATTTAATGGGATTCTGGGCATTATCTCCTTCACATATTTTGTATGCATTAAATGTGATCAAGATTTTACGTAGTGAAACAGTACTTGCTGTATATTAGGAAGTTTCATTTGATATGTTTTGCCTCCAAACCTGAAGTATCTGCAGCCTTTAATGACTATATTTGAGATTTCTCTTAACTCTTGATGTAGAATGTCTAGTTTTCTTTGCAGAACATTCATAAATAGTTGTTATAATGCATTGTTTTAGTTTTACTTTTTCTTAAGATTAAAATATTCTTTCCATGTGTCACCATTTGAAAGGCATCGTAGAGTTACCTCTTGATCTCAGTCCTTTTATGGTTGCTGTACTTGAAAAAACCTTTTCAGTTTAATTTTAGAACATTTTGGTTTTGTGTATGGAAGATTTTGCTAAGTTGTGTGATAAAAGGTATAACACATAGACATTTATTCTTGGCAGTGGGATGGAAAATCAGTTATAAGTTGGTATGAGAGTAAAATATTAAGTAATCAGAGTTTACCCCAAATATAAATTTTATAACTACTTTTTGGGGAAAAATACTGTTATGTCTGTACATCTATTTTTGTAAGGTCTGTTTAGTTTCAGGGCTACCATGGGGTGCTTGAAAAAATTAATATCAGATTCCTGGACACTTCATCTGCTCGCCTTCCCCCCCAAAACACACATGAGCGTGTGCCCACTGAGTAAGACTTTATGCACACTCAGGTTTGGATACCCTACTAATCTAGGGGTTTTATCCACCTTGAGAAGATGCATGTGAGAATTTCATTACCTTGTGGATTGGAGTCTTCACCTGCCAGTGTTAATCCTAGCCTCTTGCCAACTGCTGATTTTTGCCAAATCAGCAAAGGCCCCAAGGTGAAAGCTGCTACAGAACTCCGCTCCCTCTCCAGAGTTGTTCTTTTCATGGAGACTTCGCTCCTTCTGTTCTCATTACTTCAGTGCTCTCTGCTGCCTTCAAAATGAGAAGTTCTGATTTTCTTTTTCCCCTAAAATTTTCTAGTTCTTAGTGAGATTACTGGTCTATTACTAGCTGAAGCAGAAGTTTTCTCACTTTTATTTTTCACTTTTTTATTTAGTTTTTTGAGGGGGGATAAAGAGGTGAGGGGAGGGTTCAAGGGGGAGAAAGAGAGAATCTGAAGCAGGCTCCAGGCCTAGCGTGGAGTTGGACATAAGGCTTGATTTCACGACCCTGAGATCATGATCTGAGCCAAAACCAAGAATTGGATGCTTAACTGACTGAGCCACCCAGGCGCCCCATTCTCACCTTTATTTATTTATTTGTTTGTTTGTTTATTTATTTTAAAGATTTTATTTATTTGACAGAGATCACAAGTAGGCAGAGAGGCAGGCAGAGAGAGAGAGAGAGGGGAGGAAGAAGCAGGCTCCCTGCTAAGCAGAGACCCTGATGCGGGGCTCAATCCCAGGACCCTGGGATTATGACCCGAGCCGAAGGCAGAGGCTTTAACCCACTGAGCCACCCAGGCGCCCCTTTATTTGTTTTTTAAAAGATTTTATTTATTTATTCATGAGAGAGAGAGATGCAGAGGCAGAGGGAGAAGCAGGCTCCCTGCAGAGGAGCAGGGAGCTTGAGGTGGGACTCTGTCCCAGGACCCTGGGATCATGACGTGAGTTGAAGGCAGATGCTTAACCAATTGATCCACCCAGGCGCCCTCTCACCTTTATTTGTTTATTCTTTTTTTAAGATTTTATTTATTTATTTGACAGACAGAGACCACAAGTAGGCAGAGAGGCAGGCAGAGAGAGGAGGAAGCCGGCTCCCCGCTGAGCAGAGAGCCCGATGCAGGAATCAATCCTAGGACCCTGGGATCATGACCTGAGCCGAAGGCAGAGGCTTTAACCCACTGAGCCACCCAGGCGCCCCTCACCTTTATTTTTAATGAGAGTTTTTGCTGGTCATGGAATTCTGTTTTATTATTTGATCACTTTGAAATTTATATTCCATTGTCTTCTGGCTTTCATTGTTTCTGATGAGAAGTTGTTGGTATTAATCTTTTAATCTTGTGAAGGTACTGTGGGGACAGGGCCCTCCCTCCATTGATTCGTTCATTTGGTAAATTTTAGTTCCTGTTAAGATTAAACAAAACAAAATGATGAGAACAAAATTTATGGCAAGCAGAGTATATAATTATTAGATGACAAAAGATGATACTGTAAGCATATGAAAAGATTAAAAAATCCCTATTTCAGTACTTACAACAAGGGTTTTCATTTTCAGGTAAAAATTTTAAGAAGAGCAAAAATGCCTCCCTCTCTACCTAGCTATAGAAAGTGACTTTCAGCTGTTTTATATGACTATATTTATGAATATAGAATTTTAAAATGTAAATTTAAGTAGTCATACATAGTGACTACTGCTAGGTAACCAAATAGTTCAGTGAAAGTTTCTTTATATAGAAAGTCTTCTGTTAATAAATGTAGAAATAATTTACTATCGCTTTATAAACCCTGAGGGCCCTGTCCCCCCATTACCTTCATAGGATTAAACAGGAAGACCATGATTAAGACAAAAGTGAGGGAATACTTTTTTAACAGGAGTGATTAAGGTAGGCCTCTCTGAATAAGAGTTACTTGGGCTGAGTCCTGAATGGAGAGAAGGAGCCAGTGATAAAAATCAGTTGGGCTTGATGGAGTGTAGTGCGTGTGTGTTGCTGGGTCATTCTAATAAAGAGGTGTTACCAACTATAGTGGCTTTGTGGTACTGAATTTATGTTTGAAAGACAAAAAGGAGGCCTATTGTAGAAATGGAAGTGTAGGGTATTTTTTTTGTTTGTTTCTTTAAAATTTTTTTGGTTAAATTTCATCATAAATCTGGGTTGGGTTATTTTATTTTTCAGCTTTATTGAAGTGTAATTGGCAAATAAAATTGTAAGATAAACTGCACAGTGTGATGATTTGATATACATACATATAGTGAAAGGATTTCTCCCATCAAGTTAATGAACACACCCGTCACCTCATATATCCCCTCTCCCCCTGAGATCCTACACATACATGATACCAAACACTGTTTGTCTTTCTCTGTCTGGCTTATTTCACTTAGCATAATGCCTTCCACGTTTGTCCATGTTGTTGCATATGACAGGATTTCCTTTTTTAAGGCTGAAATACTATTCCATTATATTTATATACTACATTTTCTTGATCTGTCTTTTTAAAGATTTTATTTATTTGAGAGAGAGGGAGTACAAGAAGGGGCAAGGCCATGGAGAAGGAGACTCCTCACTGAGCAGGGAGCTAGACGTGGGGTCCAGTCCGAGGACCCCAGGATCATGAACTGACCCAAAGGCAGACGCTTAACCAACTGAGCCACCCAGGCGCACTTTTCTTCATCCATCTTTTGAGAGATACTTAAACGTTGTTTCCATACCTTCACTATTGTCTGTAATGCTGCATTGCATATGGGAATACAGATATCTCTTTGAGATGTGGTTTTTGAGATCTGTTTTCAGATATGGTTTTGTTTCCTTTGAAAATATACAGACAAGTGGAATTGTTGGATGATACAGTACGTCTGTTTAGGTATGGATAATTTTAATGGGTTGCCATCTCCCCCACACCTGTTCTTACTAGATCTAAAAATCAGATTCTCAGGTTTCTGTGTATATTATCACACCATCTCTAAATAAAGTTAATTTTGTTCCTCCGTATAACGTCATCTGTCCAAGTAAATATATTAAGAATTATTTTTGGAAAGTTATATCAGTTATTTTTTAATGTTTTTATTTAAATTCCAGTTAGTCAGCATACAGTGTGATATTAGTTTCAGTGTACAATACAGTGATTCAACACTTCCCATTCATCACCCAGTGCCCATCACAACAGATGCACTCCTTAATCCCCATACCTGTTTAGCCTATTCCCTTGACCTCCCTTCTGGTGACTATCAGTTTGTTTTCTAAGGTTGTCTGTTTCTTGGTTTGCCTTTGCTCTTCTGTTTCTTAAATTCCACATATGAGTGAAATCATCTGGTGTTTGGCTTTTTCTGACTCACTTATTTCACTTAGCATAATACTCTCTAGCTCCATCCACATCATTGCAAATGGCAAGATTTCATTCTCTTTATGGCTGAATAATACTCCATTATATATATATGTATATATATATACACACATATATATACACCCACACATACCACGTCTGCTTCATTCATCAGTTGATGCACACTTGGGCTGTTTTGATAATTTGGCTATTATAGATAATGTTGCTATAAACACAGGGGGGCATGCATCCCTTTGAATTAGTATTATTCTTTGGGTCAGTACCCAGTAGTGCAATTACTAGATCATAGGGTAGTTCTATTTTTAACTTCCTGAGGAATTTCCATACTGTTTTCTAGTGTCTGCACCAGTTTGCATATCCGCCACCAGTACAAGAGGGTTCCCGTTTAACCACATCCTCAGCAATACCTGTTGTTTCTTGTGTTGCTGATTTTAGCCATTCTGACAGGTTTGAGGTGATATTGTGGTTTTGATTTGCATTTCCCTGATGATGAGTGATGCTGAGTATCTTTTCGTGTGTCTTTTGGCTACTTACATGTCTTCATTGGAAAAGTGTCTATTCGTGTCTTCTGCCCATTTTTTAATTGGATTATTTGTGTTTAGGGTGGCTATGGTATAAGATCTTTGTATAGTTTGCATATTAACCCTTTACCACATATGTCCTTGCAAATATCTTCTCCCATTCTGTAGGTTGCCTTATAGTTTTGATGATTGTTTCCTTTGTTGTGCAGAGCTTTTTGTTTTGCTGCAGTCCCAATAGTTCATTTTTGCTTTTGTTTCCCTTGTGTCAGGAGACCTATCTAGAAAAAAGTTGCAATGGCTGATGTCAAAGAAATTACTGCCTGTGCTTTCTTCAAGGACTTTTATGGTTTCAGATCTCACTTTTA